ATTATTATATAATATATAATATTATATAAAAAATAATACTGGGAACAGAATTACTAAGTTTAGAGGAGTTGGGGGGATAGAACATTCAAGTAAAACCTAACATGCAAAACTGCATATGATATGCACAAACATAAAAGACATGTGCATGCAGGCAGACTTGGTTTCGAATTGCTGCTTTTTTCTGAGACATTTATACTGATTGTACACAACTGCTTCATTTCAAAATTCTGCTTACTTTAAAAACTACCTCTAGAACTACATTCACATTAAAAAACCCCACAATCTGGTAACTGTTTCTATCCGCTATTGGAAAGGCATAGTGAATTTAAAGCAAAAGTGTCTGGTTAAATTTGAATCTGCTTGAGGAAAGAGAACATTGTTGAAATAAAAAAATAAAGGTTAGAGTAGCAAGGGCTGAAAATTTTTTTTTGTTCTGGTGCACTGTTTTCTTAAAAGAATTCAATGTTGTCAGTAATCATATTTTTGCAGTCTTTAGAACTGGTAAGAAAAATTAGTATCTATTCTAAACATCCAGTACCCTGACTTCACCTTTTTTCGTCTCTGACCATTGATTTCTAAAGATGCACATCAATAACACCGGCCACACTTGCTACAGGATAATTCCGCTTTCTTGAACTTACACAGGGGTTCAGTATTTTTTATACCTGAAGTCTTCCCTAGAGAAACTTATGTCTTCACAGACATCATGTTTTGTCAGTAGAAGATACTCACCTGCACAACAAAGATGAAGTCTTGTTTTTATCTACACCCATTTTGATTACTCTCAGACAGACCAATTTGCACCAGTATAATTGGGGCTACAAGGTAGTATCCGAGTTTCACAAAACGGTTGGATAGCAATAGAGAAGAGCACTGTTCATACTCCATTATAAGCTGCTGGCTGACAAGCTGACTGCATTATCATCTGGCTCCCAGCAAGCCAGACATTTCTGTTCATGCACAGGAGCCAGAGTAAGGACAGCACTCTAGCAAAAGCTATTGATTGCACTGTGGGCAAAACAAGTATTAACACAAACATTCATATTCCCCTAAGGGATTAACAGCTCTTCCCTGAACTGGCACAGGCATTTGATATCTAAGCAGGCATAAACTAAAACATATGCTTAAAAAACTGCTGTTGGAGGAATTCTGAAACAAACCAAAAACCCTTTCACACCCTTTAGAGAATAATTTTGGACAACTGTTGAGCACAGCTAAAACGTTGGCAGAGTGAAGTGCGCTCTTACCTAAACACACTCGCCCTGTCCCATCCAGTGTCAGTCCCTCAGGGCACTCACAGTGAAATGAACCTCTGCTGTTAATGCATCGCCCATTGGGACAAACCCCCGGGAAAACATCACACTCATTTACATCTGTTGGGGAAACAAAGAGTTGAGTTACATGCTAACTTGAAGGAGACAGCTACAGCTTTATTGAGAATTTAAGCTACGTGAAAGAAAGAAAGAAAGAGGCTTTCATCCATACTGTATTAGGGTCTGAACACTGTTCTGAACAAGCATCTGGCTCAGCCTCAAGGCACTCTTGCAAAATCTTCAAGTCACAGGGCACTAAGATGCAACATTCTCTTCTCTAAGACAAGATGATGGATATGGCCGAGAGAAAGGAAAAACTAAAGGGATTAAATGTATTTTGAAGGAGCAGTTCCATTCTCTTGGTAACATTTTGATATTCTCCAACAAACAGTGTAACAACACTTCCCAACAGTCAGCAACTGTTTATGAAGGCATTCATCTAAGGTCAATATGATTACACCTGACAAAAACAACAACATAATAAATCCCCTTTTATCTCATTTTCAAAGGGAAAAAAAGTGATATCTTCAGTAAGAAGCAAAAACTTCACCTTCACAGGTAACACCCTTCACTCTGGCAAATCCTCTTGAGCAAGCTGTGTCTGGAATCAAGCCAGAAAGATGTATCATTGCTTTAGAATGACAGGAATATAGGAGTAAATAATTTAAAAATAAATGTATCTTCAGAATTCTCTAATAATTTGACTGTATAAGGTGGTGAGTGCTCTAGCATAAATCAAGAAAAATACTGATTCATACATGTTACTTCAAACAAATGAATAGTTGAGGAAATTAAATCTTAGACAATTACTTTCTTTTGTGCTTTCCTTAATGGAGACCAAAATGCTTAGCATCTAATCATATCAATCTCTGCACTCAGATGTAACTGAAAGGTGAATTTCCTGTAAAGCTGCCTGAAGATTTAAAGCTTTAGTGATGCCAGTTATCACCAAAGGCTTTTTTTTTCCACTGCAGCTTAATAAAGGATCTGAGCAATGACATTATTTTAGAATATGCATGTAAAATGTAGCATGATGTAGTGATATGAAAGCTTGCTGAAATTTAACTAGTTAGAGAATAGGTAATTAAATGGCGAAATGTACCAAGTCTGAGCTAATTAGCTCTCTGGATTGATTAGTTTTACCAGTCTAACCTGACCATGCTGCTTCCTGGAGTCCAAAGTAATATCTTTGCTTGGTGCTGCATTGCAGTTACAAGCTCTGTTGGATGCTGTCTGCACCGTGCTTGTTAGATGGGATACATGTGCCCACAGTTATTGTTCCAATTAAAAATGAAAGGCTAAAACATCCTCACTCCGGTTCAGCTGCAACTGCCATTATTCAAACCTCATGGGGAGAACGCGGCACAGTATTTTTTCCACAAACTAGAGCACACAGTTAGCATTCCTTTTGCAGACCTAGCTCTGTAATCTAATAGTAGTACTATTCTGCAATCAATAATTGTATGTAAGCTATGTGTTTGAAAACAGCTGAAAAAAGTGTTAACAGCCCGCAACATAAAAAGCCCTCAAGACTTTTACTAGGTATAGCCCTTTATTATTGCTGTTCTTACTTCCCTACCCCAATGCACAATCCCTGTGGAGATGAAACATACGTAATTATTAAAAGATTTATTCACATGTTATTTCCTGGTAACATCAAAGTTATTAGAATGATCTCTGATGGTAGAGATTACAAGTGACACTAAATAAGACAACGTCACTTCATAAGTTTTTTTGTGTTGTCTGTTTTCTATACAGAAAATTATGAGAATATATGTACTTCCTCTCTTCTCCCAAAAGATGTAAGATATGAGAGCATACCTAATTCACATCGCTCACATGGGCTGCCCCAAGCTGCTCCTAAGGTAGCACAGCATTCAGATTTCAGTGTAGCACCATTGATGTTGACTTCACAGCGACTGTCTTGGACATTAAGCCAGCAAGTCCCTTTCAGGCTATCTGCAGCAGAATAGAAAACAATATGGAATTGTCACAACAAAAAGAGCTGGCATGTCATGTTCACGCTACCAGCAGACAGAGTATCAAGGAGAGCAGGTTCTCTTTTAAAAGAAAATCTTACATCACAGTAATGTGTAAATGTACACATTTTAGTTTAGAAGCAGGGGAAAGGAATAGCACTATCACTAAAAGTGAGCAACAGAGCACACTGCCTGAGGCATTTCATAGTCCAGGTCTCACAGCTAGCAGCAGTCCTCCAGATACCACAGTGGATTTATTTATTTATTTTATTCAGTGACTGATCAGTCTAAAATATACAAGTTACAACAAAAGCAGAGATCACAACCTGGGACTCCCCCTTCCAGCTGACTGCCTGAACCACTAGGTTATGAAATCCAGGTGCTTTTGCCTCTCTCTCACTCAGTGAACCTTCAAGGCTGTCAGGAAGGAAAAAAAGATAAAAATGTGGGGGATAGGAGTGCGCTATATTATTTTAGGGGTCTGGTTCTGTTGGTGCATTAGCTATGCTTTGAACATGCCTGTTAGGTTATACTCCCCTCTCTGCTCCTGAGAGCTCAGCCCCAGCACAGCCAGCTCCTGAATCATAAATTGGATTGCCAGGCTGGGAACCCGGACCAGCTCAGGGCAAACCCATTCCAGTAAGCACCCAGACATGTCAGGCAGCAGCTCCTGACTGCTGCCCAGGCTAGACAGCCACCAAGCAGAGGGGAGATTTTCAGCTGCAAGTGCTCTTTGCTGCCTGAAATCCTCTGAAATTCTCTTTTAGGTACCCAAATCTTCAAGTCTTACAATGTATGCTTTCAGTGCCCAGGCTGTTTTCTAAAATGTCAGATCCTAAATCAGTCACATGCTTTAGAAGTTGTACCTACAGCACCTTTGCTCAGTATCTTTACAATGTTACACCCAAATGGTATAAAATTTCTTGAAACAGACAACAACCTTTGCGATCAAATAGCAAAAGCAGTCTGTAAAGATCTAACCCAGACTGGGAGGTCAGCCTGGGTAGAATTTAAATGCATGTGAGTACTCAGAGTTCAAAGCTAAGCAAGTGGCCCAGATGAATTTAATGAGTTGACTAATGAAAGAGGAATAGGATTTGGCTTTAAGATTTACATACATTAGATGTACAAAAAGCCAGACCATATATTAGGTGCTGTTGATCAGTATTACTAGTACCTCATGTCTAGGAGGAATGTGCTTAAGACAGAATCATTCCAGCTAATTTTTTTCAAGCAACTTTAACTTTTCTACAAAACTGTCACGTTATAAAATCACATAGACCACAGAGAGCACAACCCTTCTTTGGCTAAAATAACAGGAAAAAAATATATAGACGAGTGAAAAAGGCATCTTTTCCATGCCTTGATCAGCCTTTAGCTAACAGTCAAAACTTGGGTTAACATAACAACACCAAAGACGAAACCTGGGCAGTCATTCACTGGGTTGGCTCTTAGCCAGTCATGGGATGGGCATGTCTCTGATCATCATATGTGCCAAATTCAGGGACCAACATGGGCAGAGGGAATATAGGTTCTTTGGCTGCTCTTCTATGCCACATCCAGCTTGCTGCCCCTATATTCATGTCTCAGCTTTATGTTATCAAAATGTAAATGTTTCCATTGCTTTATTCACCAGAAGTTTCTTGAGTTCAGTATTATTTATTTTTAGTAGCAAACTTTACAGGATGGAAAAATCAAATTAGTATCTCAAAAATTATTTAAACTATACAAATTAGCATGTGACTTCCCTCCAACCAGCTGCATCTACATTACCCTGCCAAAGTCTGCTTATCTTTTTCAGGCTATGAGTTAATTTCCTTTATTTTACATAATCTCTCTTGTCCAGACAAAATCTACAATGGGCAGTCACTGTGACTTTTGCTTTGGTGAAAAAGTTATTATCCGTATCAAAGCATTCTTTCTGTTGCTTGCATCTCTTTGATTCTGACTTGAAGAAGAATATATGCATCCTACAAGCAGATGGCAGCCTGCTTACTGTGTACTGTATGAATTCCACAAATCTTGACTAAAACATGCCTAAAAAGCATGTATTAAGTGCGTATTTCAAAAAGCACAAATGGCAGTATCCCTACAGCATGAGCAATTCCCAAAATAGCAATGCAACTCTCATATCACCAACAGATGTATTTCAAAAGCAATTCTACTTTTTCTGGCTAAGAGTGCAGCCTCAATACTGCAAACACTGTTAGTGTGTAAGTAAAATAAATGCAAAATATGTCAACATTTTTGCTGAATGCTTTTATTGTAACTGCTGAATTAACAACCCTCATTTGCTTGAGGTTTGAGCTTAAATTTGAATGCAAATGTTGCGACTTAAATTCTGACTGTAACTGGAGCAAGTAATTTTTTCTCTACCCAGAAAAGCTCACAGAAAGAGACAAATGGCTCACATCCACACCCGACTTCTACAGGTGATATGGATGCAAATGGCTCAAGCCACCTGGTTCTTCAGCCTTGAGGCTGTGCAGACTGAGCAAAGGAACCAGAGGAATCAACAGACTGAAGTCTTCTGACCACAAACCCAGTAAAGAACATGCATCAGCCATACAGCTTCTCCATATAAGATCAGTCTAATGTGCCATACATGACCTGAATCCACAAGACAGTGAAAATCAGCAGTAAGACCAAGTAGTAACAAACACATTAGAGCAATACATTGCAATAATAAAATTAACGGTGATGTTGTGTTAATCCTTTCTTATTCTACTATTGTTGTCATGTGCTTTTACTTAATTTTTTCGCACCATATTTAATTTCAATAACTTTAATCGTCATAATGAAAGAAAGAAAGAAAAACTTACTCTTATAATGTAGGACTGATCCTGTTTCTGACATGGGAGCAAATTTGAAATTAAAGAAAAACTAGAGGGGGGTCAGAATCTGACATTACCTTCAATAATTCTTATGAAGAATACAACACACTCCCAAATCATAACACTATTTTAGCCATATATTTATGTTTTGGCATATGCTTTTCATATCTGATGCTACAGGAATGCTTTACAGGAGCAATCTGCTAAAAAAATTAGGGCAAATACATTCAATATACAAGTCTTTCACTGCAGTGGTAATGGGAAGAAACAACTTGCTCTACTGCAGAGATTTAAAATGGCATACATTCGACAAGAGTATTTGCAAGTTTTTCACATACTAAACTACCTATAACTTCCAACCCCTTACTCACTTTTCAGTAATCCAGTCTGCCCTCCTCTCATCACTACCAATTCCAATGGAAATTTTGCCAAGGTAGAAAAACATACAACTGGGCTCTAACAGTATAAATCTGTATGTCTCACATTAGCTGTACCTCTGACCTTTCTGTCCTAACACACGCTCATCTCTAGTATAGAGAACTCTTCTTGAGATGATTTTGGTCAATGCAAAAAATTAATGATGAGGTTTACAGTATATAGGTGGCTCCTATTCTTCACTTTTTATCTGACTATTCAGGTATTTTCTTTTGTTTACATTTTATGTTACTTATCACTAATATTCAGGCCAAATGGGACCTCACATTGTAGACGTTCCAATGGAAACCATCTGCAAAGTAAACCCAGAACATTGTTATAATTAGGCCCTTAGTGAACTTGTAGTACCTTTGGATGTGAGAACACAACAAGATTAAAAATAGGCAGTACAAAAAAGCATAGATTAGTGTGGTCATAACAAGAAATTAGCACAACGCAAAACAAAGAACAAAAGCAATACTAAGGTTTACTGGCCAGTGATGCTACAAGGAAATCTAAGAGAAGGCTTAGGCACAAAAGTAACATTCACTTAAAGAACATATTAAGGCATAGACAGACTCCATCATTAAATGGAAACTTGAGTCTCTGCATTCAATTTCCTATCTTAAGAAAATCTTGGCAAGGCAAGAAAGTTAAACCAAGAACACCAGACAAATCCATTTTAAAATATTAGCATCATGCAGTTATTAATGACACTCCAATCCAATTCATCCCACATATCCTACAATGACTTCAATTATGTTACATAAGTAAGATGAAACAATGGCAGCTTGTGATCACCTGAGAAATACAGATGTCTCCAATCCTTTGAGTTTTCTTGGAATTCAAGAAAAAAAACATTAATGAATGGCTTCCAAAGCTAATGCCAATGACATCTTGCAGACAACTGCTGCTGCTAGCTCCAGTAAAATCTGTGCAGTGCTCCGCTTTTTTCCAATGCAACAGAATCCTCAAAGGATGCTAACATTATTTATTTACATATATGTATATTTTGTGTGTGTATATATATAAAAACAAGACAATATTCATGTGTCTGCTCCTGGGGTAGGGATTCTGATAAACTCAGATCTGTCTTACTCACCTTTACCAGCTTCCTACAAAAGAGGTAAATTATGAGATTGTGTTGTAATGCAAAAGCCGTTAACATTTCCTTATTGCTAGGAAAGTCAGTCTTCACAGATTATGAAAAATGGCCTGAACCCGAGAAGCCATGTGCTTTCCTATCACTATCTGAGCAGATCTTCCTCCAGGTTTACCTGCTTTCTTGTCTCAGATTCAAAAGTGACCAAAGAACCGGGTGGGCATTTCTGCTTTACAGTTTCTCAACTACCAGACTAATCACCTATAGCTTTACTTACATTGTCCTTCTCCCAGAGGACAAGTTCATTCCTATTAATAATAAAACATCCCCACTCTCTCCCACCAATTGATACCTGCATTTCACCACTTTCACGATAGTCTGGACGTCATCATGAATTAAGTTTCTGTCAGTTTGTTCCTGCTCCCACAGAAACAATCAAACTAGTATGCATTTGTCTACAGAACTAGACATATTGTCTGCTATCATGGGGAATTACCCAAACACATTATTTTCTTGCTTAATTAATCCATATCATCAACATTTTTCAACCTAGTAAGAAAAAGTGAAAATAATAGGAGGAAATGCCCACCAATACATATCAGTCCTGAAGAGTCCAACTTGCTGCCAGGT